GATTAGTGTTCCAGTTTTCCCACATCTACTCCAACATTTATCATTTTCCTGTTTTATCATGTTGGCCAATCTGATAGGTGTGATGTGGTACCTCAATAGTGATTTAGAGCTTTTTTTCATATGACTATAGATGGCTTTAATTTCTTCATCTGAGAACTGCCTGTTCATATGAAACTGATCTCTCTTCCTGATTAAGGATGTATTCCAGAAGCCCCCTTTGTGTTCATTGTCCTCTTGGTTCCTTAGCATTCTTTCTCTTTCGTCCACATCCTTAGGTTCACCTTAAGCCTTAGGTGGAAGAACAATTAACATTTTGGTGACCTTTTGTCAAGGTCAGGCTGCTGAGAGATTCTTACCCTATTAACACTTCAACCCAGGGTAGCCTTGACAACATTAATTCCCAGACAAAATCAAACTGTTAGGAAACATTGGAAATCATAATATTTCCGTGATTCACATACTTTTTCATATATGGTTTCATGGTACAATCCTGCCTCTGCTACTTACTCTTGCTTCCATACTTTTTGGTTCAGCCAGACTGACTTTCTTGCTGTTCCTTACATAAGACTTTCCATTCCCTATATCCATTGCCTTTAAACAGCTCCTGTCTCATGTTTGGAATGCTCTCCCTCTTTACTTCCACCCTTTTTTTTCCCTTCAAGAACTCAGCTGAAGCATCAAACTTTTACATGAGGCCTTTTCTATTTTTCCACAGTTCCTAGAGGCCTCCCTCTTCTGTTTGTCTTATAGACATTTGTGTCTCTCTTGGTAGCATATAAACTTCTTGAGGTCAGAGACTGTTTCATTTTGTCTCTATGTACACAGCACCTAATACAATACCTGGCATATAGTATGTGCCTTGAATATAGTTAATACTTGTTCATTGGTTACCTGTATAACCTATAGCAAGTGACTCTTCATCTCACAGAGAGACTTCATTTCTTTGAGGTTCAGTTTTCATCTATAAAATGAGGAAATTATACCAGATCATTTCTATGGTTCATTCCAGATCCGTTAATCTTATGATCTTAATGCCCTGGCAAACTAAAATTTGTTTATTTGGGGATTTTTTTTTTTTTTACTGATTTATTTATCACTTAGTAACCACTAAATATCAGGCTGAACTTTCCTGTATATAATGTGGTTATTTTAGTAGTAATGATGAGTTGTTCTTTTCTTTCCCAAGGCTCAGCTGAGCAGCTACTGAGTCCTGAATGTTGGAAGGCAACACTGAACGCTCTGGGCTGCTTCTCATCTGAGAGCAAAGAAGGGGACTGTCCACACCCTATAATTGAGAGCCCTGTGTTTCCAAGTTCTCCCAATATTCTCTTGTCAGATGAACAGGTATACAACTTTTATCTTTTAAATCTTCGGGCCTAAACTAATCTATTTCTCTGTTTTTTATGCCCCTGAAATTTTAGGTTGAACAAGCAAACCAGTTTATATGAAAGAGGCTACTTTTTGTGTATTGTTGTTTTTGTTTTATTTGATTATCAGCCTTATGATATCCCATCTCTACATTTTCCTGTACCTAGAATGCCCTTTTCTCCTCTTTACCTTTGCTTGTTTAAATCCTACGTTGAACATTTAAAGGTGTAGTTAACCTCCTGATGAATCTCTACTCAGTCATTCGAATTTAAAGTGATCTTTCTGTCTCTAAACTTCAGTAACACTTATTATTTATAACATTAATTTAGTATATGCTTTATGTTATCTTGTGTCATTAGTCATCTTTTATATGTGTATGTCTTATTTTACCATCTCAGAAGACTGTTTATTCTCTATTATGCTTAAATTTGTTGGTTGTTGATTATTCTTTCAGGTAATGGAGACAATACAGTGGCTTTCAAATTTTTTCTATAAATTGCGGTTATCCAAGTTGGACTTTAAGAGTTTTGGATTATTTTCAAAGTGGACTCCTTATGTGGCTGATGTGAGGAGATTATTGGAGTACCTTGTGAAACGGCTGATTGCCTCTGAAATGGCTTGCTTGGGGCAAGACACGTTAACTAACAGTAGAACAGGTAATAAGCTTTTAGTGCAACATGAAACCAAACTTATTGGCTTTCTTTTAAAGAAATCTGAAAAGACTTGTTAGGACATTTAAATCTTTTTTGTGATCAAGCTGTATATCTTATCTGTCAGAAGGAAAAGATGGAAAACATATAGTGTGGGTGTGAGAAATACATCAGACCTTATAGTCATTCATACATTATGGATGCTTGATACAGCTTGTCTTTGACCCTCCTTTAGGGCAAAAAAGGATGAAAAATTTTAATCTTTATCTTATTGTTCATATTATTTCTGTCTTTGAACAAACGATTCTAGAAGTTTAAATAGCCATCCTGGGAAAGTGAGAAATTGTATTTCCAGGTACTTTATAAGTGAAGTTTCATTATAATAAAAATAGTTATTTGATTTCATGAAACTTCACTAAAAGAAATGAAAGCATTTCCTTTCTTTAATTGACTTTAACTCATGAGTCATCTGTTGTAGTCACATGGTTACCATGTGAATGTGATATTCAGATTAGGAGGATCTGAATTTTTAAAATAATTTTTTGAGTGAGATTGCTCGACTATGCCTTTTCTTCTCTAAAAATTGTTGTACCTTATTTTAGTGTTGAGATCTCTGCATTCACTAATAGTTCAGCTCTTCAAGCCATGGATTCTGGTTTTAGAAGACAGTACAAGGTAAATAAATTTTTTAGATATTTGAATACCCTGGAAAGTCATAATTTTCAAGTTCCCCTGGTATTTTAGTGTCAATGATTAGTGTATTGCCATGTTATATTTTCAGTGTTGTAACATTTAAATTTTAAAAATGATTCCTTGCTAATCATAGGTAAGGAATTTTCTCTTTTCAATTATGCCTCTAATAGCTTCAGAATAATAGCAAATCAAAAACAGAAGAATGAATGAATTTATTAATGCTTACTGCCAAGAGTTGAGCTAGACATTGGAGATACTAGTAGAAAAAAAGCAAAACAGCCCTTGCTCTTTCAAGGCGTTCACATTCTAATGTGATAGGCATAGAATTGGCGTGTAATAAATATTTCTTGACAGTGATTTAAATTTGTTGCTGTCATTTTGATTACTTGCTGAACATTTCCACCTGGATGTCCCAGTGGTGTCTCAAACTCAATAGTATATTGACATCTCTTATCTAGAAAGCTTAGTGTGGTCCCCGACTTCCTTAGTGTGGGTTTTCTCTGATGCAGATTGAAACACTCATACGTGTACAATTCTTGTGCAGTATTAATGTATATACTTCATTTGGAATCTACAAAACAAATAGACTGGCCTTCCTCTTGTTTTTGGTTTTATATTTTTGCAGATTATTAGTGTGTAACTCAAACTGTCCATCTCTTGTCTCTCAATCTTGCTATTTAAGTGGCTTAACTTTTTTTATAGCTATGTCCCCAGTAATATCTTTTATTACATTTCACACATTTACATAATTACTGATTATGTCCTGTGGGTTACCTGATACTCATCATCCGTCTTGACATTGACCTTTGAGTTTTTCTTCTTTTCTCTTACCTTTGATGCTTACTGACACTCAACCCTTATTTTTGTGTTAATCCCATGAAGTGCTGGAATTGAACATTCATTTTCAGTTGTCCACAATAAAGAAATCCATTCACTTTACTTGGGTGGGTGCTGCTACCCAAAGTTTATGGTTTTCCAAGTTTCAGAAGTTGCATATTGAAATTACTCATTTATTCATATGTATTATGAATTAATGTTTCTTTTAGAGCCATGACTTTAATATTTTGACTATAGTATTTATTAATAACTTTAATTCATCCAATTTAACATGTGACTCTTATCATCAAGCAAATACAAAAATAAATTTAAAAGCAAGCTTTTATGAGATTAGAGATGTTTGAAGCTGTAATGGGCTGTTGTGGAGTAGTGAGGCTCTTTGTCACTAAAAGTATTTCGAGCAGAAGAATGATTATCAGGGATGCTAGAAGAGAGAGAGGGTTTCTCTATTGGGTTGGAGGTTAGATTAGATGATGCCTAGAGTCAGGTACCTTTTGATTCTAAAATTCTGACTCTGATTTTGTCAAAAGGGTACTTTCAGAGTTGAGAAGTTTCTGGAAATCAGAATGTAGTGACTGAGGTTTTATGGGGTATTGGCCACATGGTATGAAATTGACTTTGTTTAGACAAGCCTAAAGTGGCATTTACTGTGGCTATTTGCACCTCACCTTTTGAGCATTCTGAATTATTTAGTCAGTGTTATACAAATATGAAAAGTTTTTCCTATGAGGAGGATCTTCTTATGACATTCTAGCCATTTCTGGGCATTCAACTTGGCCCGTGACTGGGACAGTGTGTTGTAACTGCTAATACATATATATGAAATATGGTCATAGTGCATGAAGAATAGGTACAGTGATATAAACTGAATGACTCAAAAGATGTCAAGTGATGACACTGTTGATAACATGCTTTGTGTGCCAGGTCAATCCCCGAAACTACAGTGAAACAACAGAGGAGTGGCCCAATTGACCTGGTCCTTATTTCAGGCTAGACAGGCCTACAACTTAATGTTTTTGATGTTGTTTAAATGTGATGAGGCTATTTCCTGTAGGGTTTCCACAGATTAGGCAAATTTAACCACTCCTAATTTAATCACTGGTGCTCTGGTTTTTAACTGTTCATTTCTTTGCTTTAAAGCAATCAGCACTACTATCCATGGCTGGAAAGTGATGCATCCATGGCCTCAAGTGTGGTACATTTGTTCAGTGAATGTATTGAGATTTTACATGAAAGTTTTAAAGGTAAGCAAATGCCAAATTATAGATGGCACTAGTAATTTTCTCTCTCTATATAAGTCATTCAGTTAATCTTTGGTCTCCACACCCTTTCTTTTATTTCATTTTGATTGTAAGCACTGTTTTCGTGGGTGTGTTTGTCTCATTCTAATAGTGTACTATGGTACATGGATTTTCCACAAGACTCCAGAATGACTTAGAAAAAGAAGTTCTTTTTGTGTTTTGTTTTGTTTTGTTTTAATTTGGCCTTGGATCACAGAGTGAAAACAAATTTGAGTGAAAAAAATGTGCCAAATTCAGGTTTCCATGTTTCCTAAGGAAGCTTAACTGGAATAAATCACTCACCGTAACAAGAAAAAAAATGTCCTGTCCAGCCAACATTTAATCTCCTTACCAGTTGGAGAAATATGACAGTCAAGGGCCACACCAGTTTAGAACATAAACTCATTTTTAAAAACATATGAAAGGGGATTATAGAAGATAACGTATTACCTCATAAAACTGTAAAAATTAATGAAGGAAATTAAAGCAAGAGACCTACGTAATTCAGATAATCTCAAGGGTAGTTAAGGATGAAACTGGAAAGAAGACAACCAATAGATGAAAAAAATGGAAAAGATCTTTAAAGATTTGCATGGCAAAATATTTTGTCACTGACAGTGGAGCCACTGCATTTGGATTCTAACATCCAGTCTCCAATGTGCTGTGTAAGCAGTAAAAATGGCACTAATGAAAACAAATATTGGAAAAGTGGTAGAAACAGATCAGTTATACATAGAGGAAGTCCATGCTGGAGACAACATGATTTAGGGCATTAAGGTTTGATTCTCAAGGTAGCTGAAACAAGGGAGAATACCAAAAGTTTGGAAAAATCAGTTACTACCAACACATAAGTTGACTTTTCCTTCACTACAAAATTTTTGTGAGAAATAATATAAATATGCAGTGACAGCATGTTTGTCTATCTTAATAAAGGTAGGAAAAGAGAACAGCAGACGAGTCTTGCTTATTGCCCTATTGCATGCTCCACGTACTATTGGACCTTACCACGTGCCTAGCCACTGCACCCAAGGACCATTATTTTGAGGGTCTATACTAGAGTGGTGGAGAGGAAGGGAGAAGAAAGTGTGAGTGGCATTATAGAGGTAGAAGTGCTAGGATTTGGTAACTGATTAGATGTGGAAAATGAGGCATAATTAAAGATTACGCTGAAGTTTTAAGTTTTTATAACTGAGAGACTAGTGGTACCATCAACGGAAAGAGGGACAATTTGAGCAGGCATAGGTTTTAGGGAGAACATGAGTTGTTTGGGGTATGTTCATTTTGAAGTGTTAGACATTCAGGTGGTAATGTCCAACAGACAGTGGGAAACACGAGACAGAAGTTCAGGGGTGCTAGTAGAGTTGAGAGGGATTTCGGAGTCATATACTTAGAGGAAGTAATTGAAGCAGTGGGAGGGGTTGATGGCACTTAAGAATATAAAGGAAAGAAGCAGTGTAGAGTTGTTTTCTAGATGTTTGACAGTGAAGGGGAGGTGAAAGAGGGGACAGCGGCTTAAGATACGGGGAATAGCAGGGTCAGCGGGCACCAACTTTAGTTCACAGGCCTCCCCTCTGAATCCCTGGCCCTTGGACTTGGAATTGTTCTTTGGTATCCACTATGCTTCCCCTTTAAAATATCACACAGAACCCCTCCCTTTAGCTGGTCTTCATGTCTCTTAGGAAAAGAAACTGTATTCCATAGATTGATTTACCATAGTTTAGCCATTCTATAGTCAATCAGTAATCATTTTGTTTCTAGTTTTTACTACCACAAAAAAAATGCTACTACCGTGTGTATGGTATGGATTTTTTGGTATGGATGACCTTTCTATCTTAGGACTTATGCGAAAAAGGTTCTTTCCAACCTGTGACATAGAACTTTCTTTTTTTTTTTTTCCCCAAGGTAGGAGAGGGTTAGGTTACTAAGAGTTCTATTTATTCATTCATTCATTCACTAATTCATTTATTTATAGGCAGATGGGGTTAAGTGACTTGCCCAGGGTCACACTAGGCTAGTAAGTGTCAAGTGGTTGGTCTGAGGCCGGATTTGAACTCAGGTCCTCTTGACTCCAGTGCCGTTGCTCTATCCACTGTGCCACCTAGCTGCCTCGACATAGAACTTTCTAAAAGGAACATAATTTCCTTTATCGCTCTAATCAGACAGAGGAGGTGTTCTGTCTTTTTTTTTTTAAGCCTATTTCCCCCCTTTTTCTCCATGGGAGATATCTATAGCCCCTGAATTCCTTTCCTCCCATTTTATCTCATGTCTCCTGTGTCTTTACCAAGAATTCCTTAGTGCTCACTAAGAATTTTCTCATAGCTAGCATTTATATAGAGCTTTAAGATTTGCAAAGTGTGTTACATATATTAACTCAACTTAATCCTCATAACCACCCTATAAGGTGCATATTATTAATATCTGAATTATATAGATGAAGAAATCAAGACAGTGGTGAAATGACTTGCCTAGGGTTACACAGCCAGGTAAGGAGGGTCTCTAAGGCCATATTTGAACTTTGGTCTCTCAGACTCCAGTTCTTTCTCTGCTATTCTACCCAGCTGCCTCATAGTTTTTACACTTCTTATTTGGTTTAGCTGAAGGCTTTCTACGTGGGAGCCTGAGGCATATTCTTGTGCAATATCTCTATTCAGGGCCTTCCAATATACCTCTACATTTTAAAGGCAACTTATGCTACACTTGAAAAATACTGTCAGGTAAGAAGAGAGCATAAGATCATAAATTTAGGGGTTGAAGGGATCTTAGAGGCCATCAAATCTAACCTCATCAGTTTCCGGATAAGAAAACAGGCCTACAGCAGTTGTGACCTGCTTAAGGTCACACAGGTTGTAAGTAGCAGAGTTGGGTTTAGAACTTACCTACTTTGGCATTATTATAATGTCACCTCTTCTCTTGTATGCCCTTTTCCTTTCCTCTGATTGGAGAGAGGAAAGAGCTGGAGCTCTTCCAAGATCCTCTATTTATAGGAGGAGGCCCAAAGCAGACACCTCATCTCTTTCACTGGTACCCTCTTCTACTTTCTTGCTTTCCTCTTTTCAGCTTATTTTTATGTGTTGTGTTCTGTCATTAGATTGTGAGCTTCTTGTATCCCCAGTGCTTAGTATAGTACATAGGAGGTATTTAATAAGCCTGCAAAGTTTGGTCAGTGTTTACAACTTTAAGTTTTTGATAGCTGAATTTTTTTTTGGTAATTTTGTTTTATAGGACGATAACTATAATATTTTTAAACTATTTTTTTTTTAATTTAGATAAACTCTTGCCTGGTGATGAAGGAGCGCTTCGGCTACACTTGATGCATTATTATGAATCATGCACAGCACCCAAAATGCCAGAATTTATTCTCTTTGCTTTCCATAATGAATATCGAAAACTTCCATGGAGGGATATGTACCCAGACCAAGTGCTAATGGAAGCTTTCTTCAAAGTAAGCACTTTGTAGTAGGGTAAACATACTGATTTTCTAATGAATTAGGATGCATCTTTGTCAGTATTTAAAAGACTTTGAAGAATCGATGGAGTATATTTTCTGCAAATCTGGATTTTTTTAAGTCAAATTTATATGAGACTGTTAAGTGCATATAACATCTACAATTCCAGTCAGAGATAGCCAATGACAAAAGTTCAGTGGGTATCATCTTTTTTTTCTCCTAGACTTTAGTAGTATTGCTATGTATCTGCTCACAATGGGTAAGATTTCTTTAATAATGACATTTACCTTTAAACTGTCTCTTTGATTAGACGGCATGACTAGCAGTTTAGCTGTAGACACTATAGCATTATTTAAAGTTGAAATTGCTTCTTAAGAAAATAAAACTTAGATTGATTCGTGAATCTTTATTTTCTATAAGCTGCTCTGTAAAGTGTATAATTGGGAGGAAGAGTGCCTTGGATTGACATATATGCACATTAGGTATCACTGATTTTACTATGTAGAGTTTGAGATTGCACAAGGAAATGATTTAGCATGTAAATGTTTAACTCTTTGCAAAAAAAAAATTGTAAATGTTTTTGGTCATTACATTATTGTTGAGAAAATAGTTGTGAGTAATGTGTACAGAATGTACCATCAGTCACATTGACTGGTATATTACATTTTTAACCATCTTGATATGATCTTATCAAACTTATGCTTGAAAAATTATGAATGAAAAAGCATTTCTTACTTACTTACCTACTACATACTAAATCCGAGGTTACAAATATAAAAGTAAGGAAAGTTTTTGATTGAAGTGCACTTAGGTTCAAATGAAGGGGAGTGGTGGCCAGGAAGGGTGTTGGGGACAAAATAAGCATTTTTTGAATGCCTGTTCTATGTCAGGTGCTTTACAAATATTATCTCATTTGATCTTCACAACAATCCTGTGAGGTAGATGTTATTACAATCCATTTTACAGTTGAGGAAACTGAGGCATACAAGGTTAAGTCACTATTCCGGGGTCACACGGCTAAGAAGCATCTGAGGCTGGATTTGAACTTAGCACCAGGCCCAACGCTCTATCCACTCCAAGACCAGCACTGACTCAGGCCAATTCTCTGGTAGTTTAGGTTCAGTATTGGATCAAAATGAGACTCTTGCAGGTCATTGAACAATAACAAAAATAGATGTACTTTTTAACAAAACAGAAGGATATTTAACAAGAATAGGTATCATGGTCATTGCAGAGGGCCTCGGCAGATCCCCCTTGCTTGAGTTATGCATACTAGTAATCTACCAGCCAAGTCTGAGGGCACCCCCTGGAGCATCCCCTGGACGCTTTGTACTCAAATCAAAAGTGATGTCAACAATCTGAACTTTTAGTCTCCTGAGCCAACCAAGACTTGAGGATGATCTCAATAGCTGTTAAGTTAAAAATAGCTTAATTTGCATGAAGGGGAGGAGTTAGAATATTGCTCCTCCCACAGGGAAGCATTTGAGTCTGGAAAGGTACCGGGATGGTGAGTGGGGCCCTAGACAAGTAGATTGGCACAACATACCCCAACCAGAAACAATAGCATTTTATGTGCAATGTTCACAGCCCCTGACTTTGCAAAGAAGCAGAGAGAGGAGCCTTCTCATATCTCTTTTTGGGGGCCCTGCTTGGTCATTATAATTTTGTAGCATTCAGTTTCCATCATTTTGTTGTTCTTTTATAACCAAGAATCGGAAACAAAGATGTCTATTAGTTGAGGAATAGCTAAACAAATTGTGGTACGTGAATGTTACTTCCTAGTGCTATAAGAAATGATGAATATGTTGACAGAGAAATGTGGAACGACTTGCATGAATTGGTCGATGCATAGTAAAGTAAGAAGAACAAGAAAAGCAGTATGTATAATGACTACAACTATATTTATGCACAGCTACATTCACACACCACAACTTATTTAGCTAATCCTCAATTAACGGATGTCTACTTTGTTTACAATTCTATACTACTACAAAAATTGTGCTTCTATAAATTTTTTGATGCATATGGGGCCTTTCTTTTTTGTCTTTCACCAGAATTGTTGAGGTCTAAGCATAGTAGTGAAATTTCTGGGTCAAAGATTATAGACATTTTATTTACTTTGCATAATTCCAAATTGCTTTCCAGGATTGTTGGACCAATGTATAATTCCAGTAATATTGTGTTAGTATGCCTATCTCTCCAGAACTCCAACATTAATTATTCCCATCTTTTGTCATCTTTGCCAGTTTACTGGGTATGAGGTGAAATGTTAGAGGTGTTTTGATTTGCATTTGCCTTATTATTAGTGCTATGGAACATTTTTTCATATGGTTGCTAATAGTTTGTAATTATTTTGAGAATTTTAAAAAAATATCCCTTGACCACTTAACTGTTGGAGAGTTTCTTGTGTCCTCTCCTAAACCTATTACCACATCTATTAGAATTTTCCCTTTGCATTAGAAGCATAGTTTTTTCAGATTTAGTTATTCACAAGAATGAATAAAACACAATTAAGTTATTTAACACTGCTTTTGTATCCTTGTTCTGTGACAAGGGAAGACTTATCTCGTTGAATCTTATTTTATTAATACTTCTGTATTTTGAATCCTGAGGAATGTTTAAAGAAGCTGTCATTGGGTTTTATTTCCCATCTCAGAGAAGAGACAACTAATGAGTGATTTTACAACTTTCTGAGGGTGTAAAGGAACAAGGGTGCCAAGTAGTTATTTTTTTATCTGCACTAAGGAATAAACGAGGAAATGGACTTAACTTTATGGTGAGGGAAAGTTTTAAAAATAATTGTAGTTTACTTTTGTAGAGTGCTTTAATAATTTATTATTAATTTAATTTAATTAATTAAATTTAATTTGTTGTTATTAATTTTTATTTATTTATGTTATTTAATAATAATTTATGAAGTGCTTCCTCACAGTCTTAAGGTAGATAGTGAAAGTGTCCTTATTTCTGTTTGGCAGTTGAGGAAACTAAGTGCTGTTGAGGTTAAGTAACTACCCCATGGTCACATGACTAGTAAATGACAGAACCAAGGTGGACACTTAGGTCGGATGAATGTTCTTTCCTTTCTACAAGGAAAACCTTTGTGACTCTTTAAGGTTCATAACAGCAGTGAAATAGGGAGATTGGAAGAGTTTTGTCTTATAAATTTATTAGATATACATACTTAATCTTATATATTTTAAAACATTGACCTGTCCAGAGTCAGTTGGTCTTTTTCAGCTCTGAATATGTATTGGCATAATGATATTTGGGGAAGTGATGGAGCATTAACTAAAAACAGAGCAAGTGACAACTAACATATCATTAAGACAGGAATGAAGGGGAATGTATCTTTATCAAATTTTGGAGCCAGAATTAGGGGATAAGAAAGGCAGTCATATAAGACACAGTACACAGGAGACCCAAATAAGGGATATTTTTGGATATTATTTTTTTTTAAATGTCAGTACATTTTTAATGCCAGAAAATTCTTCTCTCCATGACTTGTAGGTGGTTTAAAAAATTATTTAGGTGACAAACCAAGTCTTTGTTCCATTAATGCAATGGATAATAATAGCACCAGGGGTCCTGTACTTTTTTAGCCTTTGCCTAGGACACACAAATGCTTTATCCTAACTTAACTGCACAGAATTTATTATGTGCCTATATGTAGACTGCAGTGGGTTGTTGACCTTGCCTTTGGAAGGAAATGATTTTATATTGTTCTTTCTTTGAAAGAAACAAGGATTTTGGAGAAATCAATGTTTTAAAAAAAATAACCAAAGTATTCCTTTAAATAATGAGCTCCCCTGGTGCATTTTAAAGTGCTTTTAATTCACAAAAACACATTTTTCAGGACATCATTATTACATAAAACATTTTTTTTTTTGGTCATATAATCAGGGTTAAGTGACTTGCCCAGGGTCACATAGCTAGTAAGTGTCAAGTGACTGAGTTTGAATTTGAACTCAGGTCCTCCTGACTCCAAGGCCAGAACAAATAATTTTTTTAAACAATTTTGATCTGTTTTCTCTTAGGTGGAAAGAGGAAGCCCCAAGAGCTGTTTCTTATTCATGGGTTCTGTTTTGTGTGAAGTAAACTGGGTTAGTGTACTGGCTGATGCCTGGAGTCCCAATCCCCATCCAGAAACACGAAGCATGATTGTCTGCCTGCTCTTCATGATCATCTTACTGGCAAAGGAAGATCAGCTCATAGATCAAGCAGTAAGTCTCAGAGCTTAAAGGCCTGGCACATCTTGGTAAATTTCCCTCTCCTACTTAGGCCCCACATATTTCAGTTAACATTATTTTAGCATGTTTACATTTCTCTTACCTGCATTTAGATAGATGCTTAGTATGAGAAGATATTAAAAGAACCAGAGGAAGAGCTCCACCATGCTTAGCAGATCCCTTCTAGAAGATGTGTGGAAAGACATGGACAAAAATAACGCCAGATAAGAGTGTCATTGGTTTGGATTCTAAAAATGGTGGAGAGTACTTACGCAATAAGAACATAGCTTATACTGTGAAGTAATATGGTTTATTTTCTTATGTAGCTTTGCTCTGAAAATAACTATTTTGAAAGGAAAATATTCATTAGGAGGTATTAAATTAGAAGAAAATTAATTTTATTTTTTAATCAACAAAAATCTGCCTTTTCTCCCTCCCATTCCTCTCCTCTTCCTGAGAATGAAAGGAAGAAATACAAAACCTTTGTTAGAAGCATGTCTAGTCAAGCAAAACAAATTCCCATGTTGGCCATATTTTTTTTAAAAATGTCTCAATCTGCACTCTGACACCAATGCCTTTCTATCTGTAGGTGGGTAACATGTTTCATCATGAATCGTTTGATATCCTGGTTGCTCATTATGTTGATCAGAGTTTTTAAGTGTTTCAAAAGTGTTTTGTCTTTACTATATTGTTATTACTGTATAAATCATTCTCCTGGTTCTACTCATGTCCTTTTGCATCAGTTCATTCATGTCTTTTCTGGCTTCTCTGAAAAACATCCCCTTCATAATTTTTTTTCTTTTTAAAAAAAAAATTCAATTTTATTTCATTTATAGTTCCAGGTTCTCCCCTGAGAATGCAAGAAATACAAAACTCATTACAGATATGAGGTCATACAAAACATATACGTACTTAATCTTACATATTTTAAGGCATTTCTGCATTAAGTGTGTTTGGGGGGGTGGGTGGGAAGAAGAAAAATAAAGTGAGAAAAAAAATGTGTACTTCAATCAGCAATCTGAGTCCATCACTTCTCTATCTGGAGGTGGATAGCATTTTTCATTATGAGTCTTTTTGAATTGTGGTGGGTCATTGTGTTGATCAGATATACTAAGTCTTTCACAGTTGATTCTCTGTATAATATTACTGATACTGTGTAAATTTTTTTTCATGGTTCTGCTCACTTCACTCTGCATCAGTTGATGTAAGTCTTCCCAGATATTTATTTATTTATTCATTCATTCATTCATTCATTTATTTATTGTCTAGGCAGTGGGGTTAAGTGACTTGCCCAGGGTCACACAGCTAGTAAGTGTCAAGTATCTGAGGCCAGATTTGAACTTAGGCCTTCCTGAATCCAGGGCTGGTGCTCTATCCACTGCGCCACCTAGCTGCCCCTCAGATCTTTAAAAAACCACCCCCTTCATCATTTCTTGCAACACAATGGTATTCAATCAAATTTAAATACCATAATTTCTTTAGCCATTTCTGAATTGATGTGGACTATATTACTTTCTAATTCTCTGCCAGTGTAAGAAGAACTGCTAAAAATATTTTTTACATCTGAGTTTTCTTCTTAATTCAGATCCTTAACTTTTTTCTTCTTTATTTTTTTGTTTAGATTTACTTAGGTTTAAACAGGGTAAATTGAGGTCCTCCACTATTACAGTTTTATTGTATATTTCTCTCTGTAACTAATTTAACTTTTCCTTTAGGCGCTTAGATGCTGTGCCATTTGTTGCATTTTCAGCAAAATGTAGTTTTCCTGTTTGCCTCTTTTAATTGTTTTTGTTATTGACTTGTCCAAGATCATGACTGCTACCCTGCTCTTTTTACTTCAGCTTCAGTATTTACTCCAGTGCCTCATTTTAATTCTGTGTGAGTCTTAGTTTTAAGTGTATTTCTTTCAAATGACATATTGTTAGATACTGCTTTCTAATTATTCTGCTATCCTCTTCCGTTTTACAGGTGAGTTCATTTCATTCAGATTCACATTTACGATAGTTAATAATGTATTTCCCTCTATCCTATTCTCTTATACTTTTCTATATGTTTGTTACTTGCCTCTTCTTTATATAGAAGAGGATGGTAAGGGAGAAATGTGCTTGGCACCAGTGCTCTAATTTTGATATCGTCCGTTTATGCTTCCCTATTCCTTTTTTTTTTCCCTTACCCAGATCTCAGTCATGTAAGTCACAGAATGTACAAACATACATTCTTATCCTTTCTTTCTTTTAGACCCCTCTTTATCATCCACCCTCTTAGAGTTAATTTTGCTTAGGACTAACCCCTCCTTAATCTAACTTTCTTCTTATTTACACCCTTTACCTTTTTCCCTTTTATTTCTCTGTTGAGTGAAATATATTTCTTTACCTGTGTGTGTGTGTGTGTGTGTGAGAGAGAGAGAGAGAGAGAGAGACAGACAGACAGACAGACAGAGATAGAGACAGAGAGAGATTGTGTGAGTGTGAGTGTATTCTTTCTCTCCTTTGACAGTTCAGGTCAGAGTGAAATTCAGTTGTCACCTGCTCCCTCTTTCTCTTCTTCCTTGTTTGTATAGTCTTCTATTTGTTTAACTCCCAATTATGTGAGATAATTTTCCCATGCCTTCCTTTCTTTACTTTCCCCATTCCCCTCCATGTACTCCTCTTCCACTTTTTTTCTTTTAAGAACATCAAAACATAACAAAGCCACTTCTAAGCCCTCTGTCTTATTTGACTCCCTCTCTCCACCCAGATGATGATAGAATTCTGAGGGATATGTACATCATCTCCCCATCTTAGAAAATAAACTGTTTATCCTTGTTAATTCCCTTATAAATGCTTGCTCTTATTTACTTTTATGTGTTTCTCTTGCTTCCTGTGTTTGTATTTCAGAATTTCACTGCAGCTCCAGTCTTTTCATTAGGAATGTTAGGAAGTTCTCTTATTTCGTTTTAAAGATTTTTTTTTTCCTCCATAGAAATTTATGCAGTTTTGCTGTTTGTGTTATTCTTAGTAGTATGCCTCTCCTTTATTATGATATCTGCCAAATCTTGACAATGGCTTCTAGGTAGTAGAATTCTTTACTTATGGCTGCTTGTAATATTTTTCCTTTGATCCGAAAGCTCTGGATTTTGCTGTAATGTTTCTAGAAGTTTTCATTTTGGGGCTTTCAGGAAATAACCAATGTATTTTTCTATTTTCACTTTGCCTTCCTGTTCTAAGAGATGTGGGCAATTTTCTTTTATGATTTTTTGAAATATGATGTCTGGCTTTTTTGTCTTTCAGGAAGTCTAATGATTCTTAAATGATTTCTCTTCAATCTGTTTTCCAGGCTAGTTGTTTTTACTGTGAATTATGTTACATTTTCTTCTATCTTTTAGTCTTTTGATGTTGTTTTAATATTTCTTGTTGTCCCATGGAATCATTAGCTTTCATTTGGTCTATTCTAAATTTCAGAGTTTATTTCTTGAGTAAAGTTTTATATTTCTCATTTTAAGCTGTTAATTCTCTTTTCAATTCTTCCATAGCTGTTACTTATTTTACAATTTTTTCCTCTAGTGTTCTCATTTCATTTGTAGAAAACATATTCAGCTCTTTTAAAAAACAAAACAAAACCTCTTGCTTCATCTCTTTCTGGAATTCTAGTTGAACTTGTGAACTTTGTTTTTCTTTGAAGATTTACTTATAGATGTTTTGGTGTCATTTTCTTCTTCTGGGTTTATGTTGTGTGTGTCCTTGTTACCATAATAAGCTTTTTATGGTTGTATTTTTTTTTTTGAATTTTCTTGTTCTTCTAGCCTGCTTTCTAACTTTGGACTTTGTGTTAGATCTGGGATCTGTGCACTTCTTTTTGGAATGATTGATCTGAACTTATGTCTTGGGTTCTTCTTTCTTGGGGTATTCTAGGATCTCAGTGATAGTTTGTGCTGGGGATCTACAAGTTTTCAATGTTCCCATAGTGGTGTGATCCAGGACAAAATATGATTTTTAATCTTCTGGTCTGAGCTCTGCAAGTTCTTGACTTGGATTTGGCTCTGAGCAAAACATGAACTTGCCCCTGGTGGGAATCTAGTGGATTGCTGTTGGATTCAGCCACTGTCACCTAGTTGGAGAGCTCTGTAGGCGCAGAATGGTAGAACTACAGGCTCCCCTTTGGTCTGTGATTCCTGTCCTGTTTATTGCCTGGTAGGTTTCAGACTAGACTGGAGGCTGGAACTGAGACCCCAGGAAGATGCAAAACATTCCTGGCTAGACTCTGTCCCGTATTTGCAGACGTCGCTGCTTATCTTCCTGCGTTCACCTGGGCTGGGAAAGTGACTCACTTTGATTTGTTTCTTGGATTTTCTCTTCAAGACTTGATCTGGTTTTTTTTACTCCTGTTTGTGGAGGATTTATAGGGGAGAACTTGACTGTACTTTTTTCCTGCTACTTTGTCATTGTGTTTCTGCTTCTTCTAAATTCAAAAAAAAAAAAAAGGTTCTCATTATTTAATTGTCACACCTGTGACTAAACTAAAAGGCCAGTCTTGGGATGTTTCACTGTTTTGTAATCCCTTCAGATCTTCATTGAGTTATAATAAGAGCTTAGAGCTGAAGAGGATCTCAAGGACCATTAGTCCATCCATGCCTCAGTAAGAATTCCCTCTACAACTCACCCATTCCAGGGTTATCCAGCCTTTGCCCTTTTTAGTGAGAGCCTAGCTCCACTGTACAAGGCAACAGGAGGAAAAATGTGAAACCTTTTTAACATGTAAAAGTTTGAGTTTTTCTCCCATCACAAATAGCTGCCCTTTAGTGCATTTATTTCCTAATTGCATAATTAACACATGCCTCTTCTCAGAGAGGAGCCTGCTGGCATTGTTTTCCAAATTAGTATTTAAGATGACTTAGAAGGATAGAAGCATCATTTCTAAAAATTACCCAGTTAACTTCTTTTGATACAAGATCCTGCCTTATGACTAGGGGTTCAGATGTTATAGTTGACAATCTTCTGTTTTTCTTTACAGAGTTTTCACCAGTTAGAGAAGTTCCCTTTAAATTGTGCCTATAATATTAATAAATCTCAGTGTTTGGGTGTTTTTACTATGTCTCGATTTATTGTGCTTACTGTCTGTAGCAATGTCACAGTATATTGACTCAATTAAATTGTACTTATTGTCAGGCTGCATAGCCAATAACCACTACAAAAATACTGAGAAAAACTCCCTGCTAGAAAAATGGATCAATGTCTGTAATTGTAGAACTAAACATGATATTTATTTGTTTGTTTTCCCCTCAGGATTCCCCATTACTCAATCTCCTTGGACAGGCGAGTTCTCTTTCCTGGCATCTCGTAGATATTGTGTCATACCAAAGTGTCATTGGGTACTTCAGCAGCCATTATCCTCCATCTATCATCCTAGTAAAAGCTTCTTCAGCTGAATTAATAGTAAAGCTCTTAAAAGCATCTGCAGGCTTCAGTGTTCCTATCGATGGACAAATGCATCTAGTAAGTAGAATATGTGCTACAAAGTTCTAGGAACTTTCTATGACTAGTAATAATGGAAATGTATAGTGGTGTATATTATTGTGGCATATAGGAGAATTTCACAGAGTTATAGCTCATAAATTGTCTCATCATCAAACATAAGGTGATGAAATGTATGTTGTAATTATACTGGTTTTTAAATTTCTCAGTTGAAATACTACATGATAAATTAGAAATGTTGATTTATCTTTACTAGTTAGTGAAGCATTAAGTGCATCCTATGTGCTGAGTGTTGGGGATTCAACCACAGAAGTGAAATAGTCCTAGCCCTCCAGGAGCTTACATTCTTATGGGAGAGACAATGTGGGTATACCCAAGCATACAGAATATTTACAAAATGAATAAAAAGTAGTTATGGGAGGGAGGGTGCTACCAGTGGGGAGGAGGGAGTATGGAGATGTAGTATTGGGAAAGTTTCCTTGTATCTGGTGGCTCTTGAACTAAGTCTTAAAGGAAACCAGTTATTGCAAAAAGCAGATGTGAGGAGGGGATATATTCTTGGCATAGGGGGTAAGTAATACAAGGGCATGGAGATGGGATATGAAGTGTTGTGTGTGTAAAACTGTAAATAGGATGTTATCACTAAATCACCAATTGTGGAGAGGGGAGTGATATGTACAAAGTTTGGAAAAGTAGGAAGACCCTTATGTTCCCAAAATGAAGTTTATATTTAGTCCTTGATGCAGTGGGGAGCCATTGGAGCTTTTGTTCAGGGAGTGACATGCTCAGACTCACACTTTAGGGAAATTACTTTGGCAGTTATGTGTAAAATAAATTGGAGTAAAGAGAGACTTGAGTCAGGGTAACCAAACAGAAGACTGTTGCAATGTTTCAGATAAGAACTGATGGACTTGAATGAGGGAGGTTGGTGGTAGTGTGAGTAAAGAGGAGGGAGGCGGGGTGTATGTGAGAGATGTTGTGGAGAGAGAAGCAACAAGATTTGACACCTAATTAGAGATGTGTTGTGAGTGAAGTGTCAGGAATGACCCCAGGGTTGTGAATCTGGGTGACTGGTAGGATGATGTTATTCTTGATGGAAAGGGAGAATTTTGGAAAAGGGATGAGTTTGGGATAGGGGGAACCATCTTGAATTCTGTTTTGGACATATGGAGGTGAGATGCCTATGGGTCATCCAGTTTGAGACACTAAAAGGTAGTTGGTAATGTGGGACTCGAGCTTAAGTAGCTACATGCACAGACAGACACACGCACCTGGGAGTCATCTGCACAGAGACTTCTTTAAGTGGTTTACTTTTGTTAGCATTTCATTTACCTGGCCAGAGAATTGCCACTAATTGTAACACCTGAGTTCTAGTCTTGGCATTCTTATTAATTTGTAGCATGACTTCCTGCAAATCACTTCAGCCTCTGTCTCTTGGCATTGGTTGTCCTTCCAGCCTCTATGACACTTTCTTCCCATGTCTGTCTCTCAGGATACCATGTTTTCTTTAAACCTCAGCTCAAGCCCAGCCTCTGATATGGAGCTTTTCCTGACCTCTTCCCTTCTTCTCCCCACTCCTCCCCCCAGCTGCCAGTCTTGCCCTTACCCCAAATGTCCTTGAAGATATTTTACATATGCTTACTTATGTATACATTTTCTTTCTTGCTTAGAACATTAGCTCCTTGAGGTCAGGGCCATTGATTTTTATCTTTGCATCCCTAATGCCAAGCACAGTGCCCACTGCTGAGTATGGCTCAATAAATAATTGTTGGACTATTGCTTGTGTCTGTAGACCTGCCCCCTTATAGCTGTGTGACCTTGGGGAAGTAATTTCACTTCCCTTAACTTCAGTTTTTTGTTTTTTGTGTTTTTTTTTTTGGCAGTTGGGGTTAAGTGACTTGCCCAGGGTCACACAGCTAGTAAGTG